TCATAACCAGAAACTTGTAGTAACAAACTTCCCTGGGCTCTAAAAATGTGAAGTGATGTAGGACTGCATTGAAATTCTGAAACTACCAACTGATTTGCAGGAGATTTTAAATACACACACACACACACACACATACATATACATATATGAGACCAAAATTCTATAGTTTAAAAGTAATCTATGCCACACAGCAAGCACCTGAAGATGTGAGAATGTGGTATCCCCACCTTAAGTAGAAGTGAGAACCGAAGATTCGTAGACACTGATAGTTGAAAGGAATAGCAAAAGTTGAATGGTCTGCAAAAGCTTATAGTTTTATTAGTAATTTACACACTTGGCATGGACATTGTTATTCTACTCCCTGACCTCTCAGAATAAGCACACAGCAGTGGGTTTTGGATAGGGGGTAGGGTAAAAGGGAAGATAGAGAGATGTATTAAAGAGCATGAGAGAGAAAGGAAGGAAGAAAGAGAATAAGAGAGATCACCAGTTCTGCCTCTAGCATTGATCCAGCTGGAGCATCCAGGGTCCTGGGGTGTACACATGCCCAGGCTTTGTGGGTGTACCTTTTTATAGATATGTTTACCCTGTCCTGGAGGTAAGCTTCTCACTTTCTATGCAAATCAGTTATCATGCACAGTCACTTCTTCTAGATCTTTCTGGAAATAGGTTGGAGGCTTCAAGGGTCTTTAATGGTCTTAATCCCCAACTACAGTGCATGACTGCTTCTCAACTTCATTCCTGCACTTGCCCTGTACTGTGTTGTGCTTATCTCTAGGTGTCAGAACCAGAACATCTGTCCCAGAAAAGTGCTGCTCTACCTCCATATGGTCCCATTCTCCACCCACATCCTGTCCTTTCTCACAACGTTATTACCAACAATCCTTGTTTGGCTCCATGGCTACCCAGCTGTCAGTGTTTGAAATGTACCCATTTTAATCCCTTATCTTTTAGACTTCTACAGAGAACCGACTCTCCGATTTGGCTACTGATCCTTCTTTGATGATGTGGAGCAATGTTAACAGTCACATGAATGAAAAGTGCTTTGTGAGCCTGGACTCTGCAAGGATTCATGAATATGTGAACCCCATCCTGCTCCATTTGTATCAGGCTCAGCCCAATGAAAAATGTTACTATGTACTGAGGCACCCATATTTCAAACAGCTGTATCTTGTGCACCTAAATGCTCATCCTGATAAAATTAAAAGCCCAAATCCTTGTACAGAGTCAAAGATTTCCAAAGAAGCTTATGGGCTGTGCTCTGATGTTCTGAAACCTATTTTTGAAAAAGTTTACTGTAGAATACTGAAGTATTTATGACTTCCTCTACTTTTCCTTTTTGAAAGGTGAAACTGAAAAGTTGGTCATAGTGGAGCTGCATCTATGCAGAGATTAGATTAACTACTGCTCCTCTGACTTCCTGTAAATTGCATTTAATGCACTAAACTTTTACAACTTGTAAAAGTAAATAAACAAATTATCACAGAAACACATACACCAAAAGCTATTTAATAACATTTCATTGTATCTCTTATTAAGTGTTTCATGGAACATGTCTAACACCTTAAAATGTAGTACTAAGCATGCCTACATATTTCACAGAAATATAGACAATACACCTCTAAAATGAAAGAAAGCAAATTTGATAAATGCAGTATTATTAGCATAAGCTAATAGTTAGCACTTACAACAGTAATGAAACTGGCCCTTTGCAATTTAACTGTGTAACACCAACTACAGCTGAAGAAAACATAGTTCATTAATTTATTTTCTAAAGAAGAAAAAGAAATGATTGATGTCTCTACCTATGAACCCATTCTGAGATCAGTGGTATGAGAAATGGGCAGTTTTCCATCTCTGCACTCTTGTCCACCTTTTCAATTTGATTGACACGGCAGGGACATGCCTCTACTTGGACTGCAGCAGCATTAGAGAGGAAAAAGGAGATAGGAGGAAAGAGATTCTGTATCTCAGAAGCACCCAGATACAATGGAATACCATTTGCCAGGTGATGTAGAACCAAATTTTCAGTCATATATGTGTGTAAAAAACCTAGACAGACATTGCCCCAGAGAGATTTCTCCAAGGAACCAAGACGAAATAGAAGACAAAACAGCTCAGAATTCAAAGTTAGTTATTCTGGGTATTGGTTGGTAATGCACTGCAACAACTGCACTCAAGAGATTATTTGCACACAATAATTGTGCACAAATGGATTCATTACCAACTGTCTTTTCCCCATATCTGTCAGTTTATTGTCCAACATTCCACTACCATTCCTATTTTCCTGTCTGAAGTCCTCAACCAATCCTGCCAAATCTTCTCTCCTTACCTTCACACATTGTGTAAGCACAGGACACACTTCAAGTTTCTGCATAAAGGACCCCAAAGCAGGTACTTCAATTATTTGTAAAATTCCATCACTAAATCCAACATCACATTCACTTCTGCTACTCACTGAAATGGCTTCAGTGTCATACAGAGCTGTAAAATACATTAACATTTGGCAGCAGAAACCACGAATCACCTTCACAGGCTCAACTGTGGCCCACTGAAAAAAGTCAGTATTTCGTGAAGATATTACTAAAATATTCAGCTGTCTGAGCAAGTTTCATACTTTCACCCTTCTACATTACTCAGTGTTGCAGTAATAATTGAGAAAAATAATTACAGTGTCAGAAGTTTTATCTTTCTAATTTTCATATCAGAAAAATTCTGAAAGGAAATTAATTACCTTGCCCTTGTCTGGACTGATTTGTCTGAATTTTTTTTTTCCACTAGTAACATGTTTATGATCTTTATAAGGATGCTTCTCTTCTGGAGTCACACTGCAACAACACATAAAACAGCTAAGACTGAAGACGATGTTTCAAGAAGACCTCTTCCTCCAGATTAAAGGTGGACTGACCTGAGATGTTTTCACTTTTCGTCATTGTCCTTACGTCAGCAATAAATGTGCCAAAGTTCACACAAACTCCTGCTAATCCAATTTAAAATGAGCCAGCTTAAAACTGCATGAGATAATTAGCCAGTGCTACCAGAAGAATGTATCAGTAAAGCATCTTAAACCACATCACCTATTTTAAAATTGAATTTGTCCACACCTCTACCTTAGCAGAGATGTGCCTCATGCTGCCAGACCACATTTCAGAGGAGGTACCTAGGTCATTTTAGTTCAAGTGAGTTTCTCAAATTGTATCAGTGTAGCTAATGTAGTACAAAGTGGCAGAGATACAAATAAGAAAATACTTCATGCGAAAACCAAGCAGTTTGGTAGTTTAAACAGAAACTGTGAAAAACAGAACTGTATTTGCAAATCTAGAATTAAAAGCAGCCACAACAAACTAATTTTGTTCTTAAAAAATAAAATGTCCAAACAGATTATTCAAAGAAAAAAAATCTCTGATTTCTGTCTCAAGTTCATCTTTTGTTATCTAGTGACTGAGGACAGAATACCTATTCCATTAATATCTACTTATAGTCCTCAAAAAAAACCCCAGAATTTTGTCCACCAGAATTAAAATTCTCAAATTCAAGAGCAATAACAGCAAAGAGTATGTTTCTCTGTCTTGTTGCTGTTATTAATTAAGTCCCATTTGGTGCTCCTGAATTGCTCTTATTTAGTTGCACTGGATGGGTGTATAGAAAGTAATAGAAGATGGATCAACAGCTGTAGTTATTATGAAAATTATGGCAGCGCATGAGAGGAATTGCAGCTGCTCAATTCATGCAAATAAGAGCTACTTGACAATGCCTATAATTACACAGCATGTCAAAACAGCATAGCTGCAGTGTAAGTAGAGACTACATATTTTAGAAAGCCAAAAGATTTCCATTTCATTATATTCCCATTCCCTAAACGCCTATTTAGAGATAACAAGAAACACTTTCTGTCGACAGGCTCACAGATACAGAAAGGTCTGCTGAGTCTCCCAGGTGCATTCTCCTGCCAGCACTGCAGCTGTCAAACACAGAGCCTCTCTGCTGTTTCCCAGGCATTTGTAACACATCCTGGACTCACATCACAGCTGGGCCTTCAGCTCACTGTGTGCTGAGCAGATATGAAGAAAGATTCAGCCACATCTACTTTCAAAGCAAAGGTAGATTGCTTCCAAGTGGCTCAGACAATGCAGATACCATCTCCTCTATCCAAAGCCTGTTCCTGATACCTGGAACAGCACTGTAATATTCTAGTTTACTTTACTTTTGAGTGTGCCTTCTTTCAGATTGTTTGGGGCAATTCCATTCCCACTTCAGGCACAAAGACCTCTTCAAGAGCATATCTCCTTTTCTTACATGTAAACTTCACTTAAAGCTCCTCATTTTCAGAGATGCTGCCCACTGTGCTTATCCTGTTACATCTGTAGGCTGCTTGCACATTAGCAATGATTTATATAAAGTGACATTTTATTACTTTAGTGTCTTCCCATTCCTGTTCTGCCTGTTTAATTAAAGCCCTCTTCTTTTTTTGCCTGTTGTTTCATGCTAGCAAATCCCTGCACCTGCAATGGAAAAAAAAAAACAAACCAGGGATAAATCATCATTTGTTTTCCTCTGCACCTCAAACTCTTGTTTCAACAGCTGTGCAGCACAAAATTATGTTACAAATAATAAATCCAGAACAAGAAATACAAGAGTAATGAAAAGATTTATTTATTTATTTTTACTGATGACATTCACATAAGGAGAAACAGGGAGATACACAATTTTGCAGCCCTCCTACCTATCACTCAGGGGTGAGCTGCACCCACTTGGTGTACAACACAGTTACTAAAGTTCCTTACTGCTCTTGTTTTACACAGTGATTCAAACCACATAACCTGGCAGAAACCACAACTTTTCTTTTCCTGTGAAGTCTGATGACAAAAATCTAATTGCAAATGCCTTGGAATCCAGGAACGTGACGTGGTAGAATTGGTACCTCAAGCTTCTAATGTTTCAGTTGGACAATGATTAAATCACCGACCCAATACAACAGCTACACAACTTGTCAGCCTTACCTGAAATCACATGCTGTGGTAAGTTCTGCTCCTCCTCCAAAAGCTTTTCCTTGAACTAGCGCAACACTGATCAAAGGCAACCTACACAAGAGACTTTAGTAAGCAAAATTCATGCTTCTATCCTTTCAGAAATTACAAAACAATTCTACCAAACCATTTCTATTTCAAAAGTTGAGAAAAATATACTTTTCCAATTTATTCAAATAACTACATATTTGTGAGCAATCAGCACAGTATCAATTCTACTTATGTCAAAATTACTATTGCATAATTGATACAGAATCCCAAAATGAAACAGCAAGATGGATATTTTAAATGGAATCAAAATATCATGTACTGAAAAACATGTTATGAAAAATACCTGCTATAGAATATACCTAAAAAGGCAAGGAGTGACAAGATAGCAACATAAGATTCTACTCTAAGCCAGTACACCACAGAAAGAAGCAGAAAGAGACACAAAGAACTGAAGGGCTGTGTTACCTAAAATTAACGAGATTTACCATGACAGCTTCAGCAGCTTCTTCAAACAGAGTGCTACTATCTCAATCATCAACAAAACTTTTTTTGCAGACAAAACCTTTTGAGGAAAGCAGCAATCTGTTACCTTTGTTGGTGTTGTATTTAATCGTGTTCAAGGTATTTAATCATGTTCAAGGTAATTCTAAGGACAGAGGGAAGGAAGAGTATGTTTCCCCACTGCTGATGTGAGGTGAATACTAATGAATAGTGATTTAGGATAAGGCAAGTTTCCTAAGAAATGAAGACAGCTGGTTAGTCACAGAATTTTCACACTAAAACAGCTGTTTCATCTTTTACTATGAAGAGATTTTGAGCAGTTTACAAACCATTCAGAAGTCAGCATCCTAATCATAGTCACATGTCTGGTTTTAGTTCACCTTTAACAGAAGCACCAACACTTTCTTACAGTCCAAGTTCACTTACAAGCTGCAGCACAGTTCATACAATACATGGCACAAGAGAACCCACTGGAAGAGGGAAATTTTTTCCTGTGGTTTATGAGAAACCAGAAGATGTGAGTCCAAGATGGCTACATCCACATTCAAATCCATTTGAGGCACCTGTTTCAGGATCATGGTCAGCCTCAGCTCTGAGGGAGACTAATCCCATCTACAACAGAGGTCCCCAGACAGCAGCTCAGCACTCCCCCTGAACCACGGCTTAAAGACATGCTAAGTCTACACACCTGAGGTGGGGGCTTAATCTTCACACATCTTCCTCCTCTTAGCTTTGCCCCATCAATTTTGATTATATGGAGACCAGCTTATGCAAATGGTTCCAATCCCAATGATTCCTTACAGTACTACTAATATAAGTCTCCAATCTCCTGGGTAATTTTACAGAAAAAATGTTAATTCATAACATTTTCTCATATAGATTATTTGAAAACAAAGAATATTTGAAAACAAAGAGTATTCATCTTCAAAGAGCTCTGAGCAGAAAAACACTGACTACCACAAATGGATTTAATAGAAACGTGACTTCTCAAGGGAAGCCAAGTCTAAAGGAAAGGGTGTTTTTTCAGAAGCATCAGATGGTAAAACTAACAACACTCCTCTTCTGAAGTGGGAAGATTAAATAAATATATCAAATAAATGTTACCTATGTAGGCTGCATAACCTGTTGCTGCTTGTTATTTAAGAGCTACTGACTTCCACTGAGTTAGAGAGGTCAAGTTTCAGAAAATTTGAAGGCCCAGACTTCCTTAGCTCTGGGTATCTCCTAGCTCTACACATACAAGCCTAGGGTTTTGGTTTTTTTTCCTGTTCCAATCTCTGGAAAGCAAAACGTTAAGGTCTAATTTAAATCCATAAATATCTACCTGATTAACATGTGTGAATAGAAGGTCTGGGATTCAAAATTACATACGTAAAATTATGTATTTAAACATCTTATTAAAGAATTAACCAAAATACATTCTGATACTTATAATTACTTCATAAATGGGTAAATAAAACATATTACCTCATAAGTCTGGTTAAGGTGTTTTGCATAAACATGCACATATTCATCCCATCCTACAATGAATAGGAAATGAAAAAATGTTAAGTGATCTTAATGTGAAGCAATCAAACACAGATGGAGTAGACAGGAGTAAGCATTCTTTATATTTACTTCAGCTGGGTTTTGAGTCCTTGGTTCATGCTGCCCAAATTGCACCCCAACCCCACTATGCACAAATAGAAAACCTAGTATAAATCAGGTAAAAAAAAAAAGTCAGAACTCAATTGACTTATATAAATTTCAGTTATAATTAAGCCACTGCTAAAGTAATTGCAATACCGAATTTCTGTGTTGTGAAATTTTAGTGTTTCCTCTTAATTTGCTCTTCTCACTTCAAGTTGAACAACCATAAATCTGAGTTTTTAAATTGTGTACAAAGCCATGGCATGCTACATACTTTTTACTGTCCCAAATCCATAAAGTTTTAAACATGATACAATTTATCAATTTAATCTTTTATTGTTTGGGCCAAAAGCATTTCAGAAAAAAAAAAAAAACAAAAAACAAACACCAAAAACCACCAAATTGCAAAACAAATAAAAAACCAAACCAGAAAGAAGATTTTTCTTATCTCTCTCATCCTTTATGTTTTACATCTGCTTGTAATCAACAGTGAAAAATATACAACTGTTTCCTTCCAATCTAGTACAAGAACTAAAGGGTTCCAAATAAAATACATTCAACTAATATTTCTTCCTACAATGTGTAGTTAAAATGTGGAACACTTGGCACAGGGCATTACACCCTCTACACAAATTCAAGAACATAAACTCACAACAGGAACAGCAATAAAAGGTTATTACATATAGAAAGCAACACCTCTAGCTCTAGAAATCTTAGTCACAAACTGCTGGGGGCTAAGAAAATATTTTGAGACAAAATCATTATCTTCCTTCCCTGTTAATATCCTCTTTCTCAGACATCTAGAATTAACCAGGAACTTGACAAATAACTGGGCTAAATGATCCAGAACCACCATGTTCATATACATACTGAATTGAACCACACATATTATTTATCCCAAATTAAAGGAAAAAAAATATGTTTGGACACCATAGAAATAAAAAACAAGTAGGTAAAAAATTCAGCACATCTTTCAGATAATAAAGAAAATAAAGCCAAACAGACCAAATCCAAACAAACCAAACCTCTCATTACCAGAATTTACTAATTTCTGAAATACATTTTTACAGAAGTTGGCAAGTTAGAGGAATCTGCCTGAATTAAAAGCCTCTGACTCATACCTCAGGGAATGAAAAGATATGCATTAAGTCTCCAATAGATCTTTGGAAAAGGACATTGAAATAACAGCAGGCCAATTTCAGGTGATTTATTGTCCATTTAGTCATGTATTCCCAAGAGCTACTCTGCCCAATGACAACCAGCATTATGATGTTTAGGCACAGCTCTCTGGCAGATGTGAGTGCCATGATAACTGCTACACAAAAACCAGTGTATTTAGTTTTACTACACTAAAGGGCTGCTTGAAAATTTTAGCACTTGTTGATTTATAAAGAGGCTTTTAGTTATCACTGTAGCCATCTCCTGCACACTCTAAGAACAGTAGCAATATTTCCATTCCAAGTTAAAGAACATTCAAACCTTTCATGATAGCTGCCTTAGTAGCTAAGTTCAAAGCCCACACAAAGATACAAGATACCAGCTCTCAGACACAGACTTGCACAATTCCCGTATTACAACCTTTAGGATGTAAGCTGAATTACATGCTTCAGGATGAAGCTGCACAAAAGCTCTTCAGAGAACATGATTTTTCACTTCACCACACCAGAATCCTTGCATTCAAACTGGACTTCTCAATTCATGACAAAATCCAAAATGATAATTAAAGATTCATTCCAGAATAGATAAACTTGAAAAACCCATTTATGTCTGAGCAGATAAAAAGAAAAGTCTTCATTCTCTCAGGTGGTAGAGAGATTACTGTGGAAAAAATGCCTGCACAGAAAACACTCAAAAAAAAAAAAAAAAAAAAAAAAGCAGCAATTGCTTGAGTCCTGGCAAGTAATAAACCCTTCAAACCTTCCTGACAAGAAAAATAAGACTATTATTCAGATAAAAGACTCTAAGAAGTGCTCTCTACAGTCTAGTAGAATAATTATATCTGCAGCTCTAATATTGTTCTTGAAGTAAGAAGACCTCTAACTAGCAGAAAGGGAGGTAAAATGCAGTAAAATGCACAACATATGGAAGGAAAGGATTAACAGCTTGGAGTGGGCCTAGGAGAGGCAGGGAAGAAGAAAGTCACCTTCATAAAGTAAAAGACTCTAATGCTGCCTCTTATTGCCACAAGAGCTTCAAATCCATTTTCACTGCTGATAGAACGATATTTCCAGATTATCTCCAACTGCTCCAAAGTCCTCCCTCCATGGCTTATGTTTGGGAACCTCTGTCCTAGGACTTCTAGACAGGGATCAAGGATAGCAAAATTCTCCTTTGTGCTTCTTCCTCTGAGCTGTTGTTTCAAGAGCTATTCTTGCTTGTCAGCTAGACAACTTTTCAAGTCTCTCTCCAGAATGAGGTTCTCGCTCTAGGAACAGCTTACAAAGCCTTACAAAGACAGAAGGAAAAATATTTTTTTATTTAAATTCCACTACTCATTTACCTTCTGTGATTTGGTTATGTAATGTTAGCACTCAGAAAACAAAAACAGGCAGGGGACCTAGGTTTGCTTCATGAACATGGGACAAGATGGACAAGAGAGGAAAAGAATGAAGTGGAAGGGGAGGACTAAGAGCCACTAGGGGGCAAGAAAATCCTTCAGCGTTCCTGGTCATTATTCTGCCTATTCTGCACCACAGGGAAAAGCAAAATGTACTGAAAATTATGAAAAATACAGTACTCCATCAACCAACTGGTTGGATAAAAGTGTTTTCTGCAATTACTAAAAGCAATGGGTTAAAGAAGTCTTTAAAAAATATATTAAGGACAGTTCAGTTATTTGAGCATGGTGCTAATTATGACAAGATTATGGGTTCAATCTGTTCACTTAAAAGTTGGACTTTATCATCCCTGTGGGTCTCCTTCCAACTCAGAATATTCTATGATACTGTGAAAGACATACCCCATCAGGCATAAAGTTATTAATTTTGGGGGGTTTTCTGCCTTGAAGATGCCTGTGGACAGAAAACTTAACCTGAAACCAGACAAAGCACTCTCATCTCCATCAAGTTAGAGTGAAGAGTTCTGTAAGACTGAAGAACAGAAAATGCTATTACATATTCTAGTAAAGATTTTTTAATAAAGACTATTAAATCCCACCAAACAGATTGTTTAGAAGCTATTATAAAGAAACTCTCAGTAAAAGATAAATAGCCTGAACTCTCCAAAGGAAGCAGAAAAGCAACTATGTTTAACTATTCTTGGAGCATTTCTGGTGACTCTTAGGCTTTAATTTCAATACTAGCATGAGATCTAGATTCTCTGCAGAGAATTCCCAAAGTTATAACTAACATGTATACATTTCATTCCGCCCAGTATATCTGTTATTGAACCTAATCCTTGCAAGAGCCCTCTGCCACTGCAGTAGCTCAAAGTAATTTGTATAAGCATAGAGAGAGAATATGAAATACAAGGAAGCAGAATCACTGAGATTTACAGAACTCTGAAGGAAAGACTGGACTGCAAATAAGAAAAGAAATGACCTTGTTTGGCTTCAGCTCCTTTTCTATTGGTATAATGATCAAAGAAGATGAGAATGGCAGATTAAATTTTTTTTAAAAAATCAATTTAGAAAAAATTTCATATGCATCTATATTTTTAGAATTACCAGTGCTTATAATATATCCAGATGAAAACTTCCCCCAAATCCATTTAGATATAAAGCATGACATTTCCGTATTAAGAAAAGCACCTCTCATGTGAGGCTCCAGAAAGGAAAGAAAGAGTCCTATACCCTTTGAAAACTGGACTGTCCTATGTATTTTACCAGGCCACAAATAAAATCTAAGATATTGTGGGGGTTTTGATATTTAGTTTCATCAACAGGAAAAAAAAATCATCACTGAAGAGAAATATCAGATTAGCCAGTTTTTGTGTTGATGCTCATACTGGAAGGGCAAATTAAATGTTTCATTTACGTAATTAAATCCTGAAACTTGCAGTGGCCACAAAAAAAGCACCAGGATTGGCACCTACCACAATTGCAAACTAGGTATAAGAGCAGCACAGGCAGCTTCCCTGGCAGCTGGCAAAGCCCTATTTCACACATTGCCAAGTCCACATACTAGCACACAGAAAGAACAGCAGCACACATGAAAGTTGTCCAAATGAGTGGCATGAGCAAAAAATTGCCATCAAACCCCAACTTCTTCAATTTCATAGGTACACACAAGATTCACATGACTCAAGTACAGCACAAGAATTGCATCTGTTCTTCCATTTCATGCAGGTTCAAACAGTTTTGATAAAATTTCTGTAATAGCAGCCATGCTACTTACATTTCTGTTTTTATTTTAGAATATAAGAAATTATTACTTTTATCTGTTTCCAAAGGTCAAACTACAGAAGCACATTTTATGTGATGTGTAAATTCACCATATACTGCTGTGAGAAACTGAAATGACATTTTTAAAAGAAAAGGCTAAAGAAGCACATATAGTGTAGGAATTTAGAGTTATGAATCACTTACAATAACACTTAAATCATGGCTTGAAGGGCCTGACAACATTTTTTTGACCATTAAAGCTCCATTCTGTGACTTGTATGTAAAATTGCAGAAGTGTAGGGCAACACCTCTGTCTAAAAAGAATCTCAAAAAACTAATTTTTCTCCAAAACCTTAATGTGTACTAATACTTGCCTGGGAGTTGGATATTTCTTTGACAGCATTCAAATCAGATCCTGAGCAAAAAGTGTTTCCTGCACCATGGATTATAAGACCTTTGCCATCCTTCCAGTTTTCCAGTTCAGTTACCCTCTCCTGGAGTTCTACCATCATAGTACCTGCCACAAGAGGGGAGAAACAAAATTTTTAACAGGAAATTATTACCACCATTATGTTTTCCACCAGCAAAAACAAGTTAGAGTAAATAAGTGATTGTCTGAAAATCACAAGGGAAAGCATCATCTTAAATCCTGCACACAATCACCAACATACATTTGTTCTCCAAGGATGCACGTCCCAAAATTCCAAAGGATATTCTGTATGAAGGATATTTGTGTTACACTCAAAAAAGCCTCAAAACAAAACACAACAAACAAACAAACAAAACCCTCTACCTGATTTATTTCTGCTTGCAATTGCATACGTTCAAGACAGCTAAATTTGTATGTATCCATCCAGATCTGTCCAACTAGTCATTTTGAAATTACTGACATTCCTCCCTGCCCAAACAATTGGCAGAGAATGAAAAGAATCATGTCCAAGGTGGGCTCAAGGTGCAACCAGTCAATGTTAACAAAGGCTCCTTTCTAAAGACTCTCATTATAAATATTATCATCATAGAGTACTAGCTTTTTATTTCTTGTTAAAACAACTAATTCATGATAAAACATGATAAATATATTTGCTTAAGTACCCTTCCTGACATGGAACTCTATAAACTCCTGTTTCTAGCGCTCATCCTGGACAGCAGCATCTTCCACAGCAATGGAACATACCTGTATTAATTTAAAGCTCTTCCTGTCTGAATGCCTATGACCTGTCTCTCATTCTCTTAATATACTTAAGAGAAAACATTTACAGAAACTAATTTCAGAAAGAAGGGTACATACAGGCTGATGACATTCCCAGCTTTACCCTTCTTCGACAAAAATTTAGATGGACAGGCCTACATTCTTCAGATAGAAATGTGCTTTTGATTAATACTCTCAAGGACTCTCTCCTCTGCCAACGGTGTTGCTTTTTTAGCTCTACGCCTGCATGCACAGGACTCATCCTCTTCTGAAATTTCCCATTAGCAGCCAATCCATGGGACATTTGTGTTTTCTAACTGTTTGGTTTTTTTTTCTTACAGTTAATTATGAAGTAAGCTTCCCAGTACCACATTAAGAGTGAACACTCAGTCAAGCACTTACCCCTTAGGCTTGGTCTCAGCCACTGAATTAACACAGTTTGACAATGTTTCTGTTCTAGTCAATAATTAAGTGGACATTACATATTATATACCAGAATAGCATTGGGTTGTTTTATTTTTTTACCCACTGTCAAGTCCATACCATGATCCTCTAAAAAATCCCAGCAGTTCTGCCAGTTGCTTTCCCTTCTGTATTTATAATTTGGTCATGTTTTTTGTATGTGGCACATTACATTTGCTTTCACTGAATTTCACCCTGTTGATCTTGAGCTCTTTGTAGCAGCTAATCAAGATCACTTTGAATGCCTCTCCTCTACTCCAAAAAATATTCTTGAAAGAGCTCCTAATGTGGGGTCATCTGACAATTTCAGCAGTTCATCTTCTGTTTCATCATCCAAGCCAGGAATAAAAATACTGAGCAGAACTAGGCCTGGATGCAATTTTTGTGGGTCTTAATTTGAAATGCTTTTCCAGCCCGACAGCATATTTAACACCTCTTTCTGCAAACACTGCAGTTCAAACAGGTGTGCATTAACCCTGTGGATTTCACTTACTACATATCTGCCTTCTTAAGTCTTCTTTACAGAGTGGTGTTTGAGATGGCATCCAAGCTTTGCTGGAGTCAAATACAGCAGAACAACTGTTCGTGGTTCTCTTAATAGGCAAAGCAGTGAGGTATTGAAGAGCATTCAAAGCCAAATATCCAGTTAACTGAAAAAATGAAGGATACATACGAGCCTGTTACATGCAATAGCAGGGGACAAGAGACACTGGCCTGGTTCTATCCTCTGCAAGAGACTCTTTTCCGTTCCTGACAACACTGAACTATTATTTACCAAAAGACATAGCTCCTGATGTTTGATATAATGAAGAGGGCACAACACTAAAGCAAATCCTAATGCCAATCTTATTTCAGTATTTAATACCACTAAGTTCATGCTCTTTACAAAATAAATAATAAATAATAATTTGTTTGCATCTTAACTATCATCTGAGAATAAATGTTTTCAAGTAAATTCTAGAAAACAAAAATTATCATCATTATTTTCTAATTTCTACAGGCTAGCTTTCTTCTCTTTCAAACTTCATTCAAGTTTAATTCAGTGAGAGGCTGGGTTGCTGAAACTGGTTCTACCAGGCTTTAACTGACATTATTAGCATTTGTTTCCAAAGAGACTATTTCAAACAGGTGGCCATCAGATTCCAATTAAGAAGAGAAAAAAGGCATAACAATCTCCATATCGCCTATTAGCAATTTGCCAACAATTTTGTTCTGTTTTTGACTTCATGAGTTGCTCAAGCTTAGAATAAACATAATTCCTTTGAGATAAGAAACTGCTGTGTAAAGCAAATGCCTGGAAAATAGAATTTCTCTCAACAGCTTAATAATGTTTTGCAGCTTTCTAGAGGGAGTGTGCATGGATATATAAATTCACATCTGCCACTATTCAGAAGCTATGAAACACAGAATCAACAGAATTTGATGGGGAGGTCGCTGAATCTACCGGCTCCGGCTGGTGAAGTCAACCAGGTTCTGCTGAGGCAATTCAAGGCTAGCACACCCCATCCTGCCCCTTGAAGAGCATTATTTGATACACAACTGTAAAGCCAAAGGACTAAGTTCCTGGTAGTTTCTCAGCAACTGCATTTTACAGACAATAATGTTAAAAATTAAATTAAGATCAGTATAAATTAAGATGACATACCATTCACTGCAGTAGCGAAGGGGCCAGACTGATTTTGCTTCTACGCTGCCTCACATAAAAACAAAAGTCTCTAGCTGAGGTGTAGAGCACAAAGAAGAAGCATCTCTTGAACTGACAGTAAGATTTTCCAGAGAAATTTTTTGTGGCTATTGCCTAGCAAAATGGTGCACAGCTCTCTACAGGGCTCTACACACTGCTGTAAAACAGAACTGCCTGATCCCACGGCTCATTTGTTATACGCTAATGAGTATCCACAACAAAGACAGAGCTATTAATTTCCTCAGTGGATTTTGTGGCTCCTCTTTGCTACTGGAGCATCTAATTGACATACACTAATAAGTTATTTTCACAGCAGCCCTGTAAGGAGAGAAGAGGTTATTTTACAGATAACTAACTGAGCCAGAGAGAAAATGTCTGCTAATTTTGGATGCTCGACTCCAGATGTGTGATATGATTTTAGCACTTTAACATTACACAGAACACTGTACAGGCAAAGAACAGCTATCAGTTGCCTAAATGACAGGTGCATCTGCTCAGCACTGCCACCAATCACTTCTGAGCCTCTCCTGCCAAACACATAGAAAACAGAGAACATATTTGCAAGTTTCTATGGAAGTTTGGTTTAAGCAATTTGACTTTTATTACTCCTGATCTTCAAAGAGCAGAAAAACCCAATGTGCTCTCTCCTTTTGGTGTTACAGCTCATTTCTCATACCCCTTTCAACTTCCACAACAAATATGCTAAAAGCACACAGTCTGCAAGGTGTACATCACACAGTTCCGTTTGAATCAAAAACATAAAACAATCTAGAAAAAGGAGAAACAACACTGTAATTATGATTGTATAACAGCATGTATGCTGACAGGGAGGCATGCAGAAGGACAATCCCTATCCTAACATTTTTTAGCTACAACTTCCTAAGTTAGGTAATGCTTCTATACATGAGATTTTTAAGCAAAAAAAGAGAGAATGCAGAAACATGTAGGTGCATTACCACCAGTTCTGCTGCTCGCTTAGGTTCCTTTCAGCTAACAATCACTAGTAGAAAAAGCAGATTGACATTCTGCATATAAAGGGCACAGTTTGCTGCAAAATGTTTACTCACAACAAAGGAACAGTGAGAAATTGGGCAGGAAGACAGAACAGCAACAAAGAAATTGGCAAGATGACACAAAAGTATCCACTTCAAAATATTAACATATAAAAACATTCTTACACTAAAGGCTTATGCACGGCTCCAGTTCAGGTAGATTCACACCATGAACCTGTGCCACTCATATCTGAAGAGAATGGCATAAATTGGAATAATCTAGATAACTAAGAAGAGACAGCAAATATACTCAACTTGGAGAACAAAAACCTCTCATAATACAAGATTAATAAAATAGGGCACTTGGTTTTGATAGCTAAGTATTCTCCAGTGTAAAAGCATATTAAACAAATCACTGACCTGCAAAAGCTGAGAATACCCAGCTCATCTGATCTTTAATTAACCATTCACTGATATTTATGACATAAGGCAAATGAAGAAGAAATGGAAGACAGTTTGGGTGAGCAAAAAACACCAAATTACAGAAGTTTAATGTACAGGGAAGGCTTTAGGTAAAGAAGGTAAAGAAACAGGAAGCAAACTCAATCTTTCTACATCACCTACAAAAGAGAGGTGGCATCTTCTCAAGCCCACAAAAATGCCTTCCATATTTCCAGAGTAGTGATGACAAAATGAGAGGAGATGCAAGAAAGAGCTCAGTGGCAGAATTGTGCCAACACTTAACACAGGGAGAAGCACATTCTGCAAGACAGTCCCTGCGTCATTGAGAATTTCTTAGATTCTTATGACATTTATAGCAAAGTTACTATGCAAAACACTGGACACATTTGCTGCACATCTGAATAAAACTTACACATTTGTTCTTTTAACTCAGGCATGGTAAGGCAGAGTGTTTCACTTTCTTAGACAAAATATCTAAACAGGTAACTGAAAAAGAGAAAAACCAAAACCAACCAGCAATCCCATCAACTAATTAGTACCTGTAAAGGCATTCATTAGCTTTGGATTATTCAAAGTAAGTATTCCAATGCCATTGTCTTCTTTGGAAAGGTTGATGGATCCACCAGAAAACTGTTGAAGTTTCTTCTTTATCAATTCTTCTTCATAGCCATCAGCACCATTATACAGTGACAACCTTCTCTGTTGTAGTATTCTTTTCTTTGTAGTCTGAACTAAGTTCTTCCAGAGAGGAAGGGCCATTTCTGGAAATACATGGGGTGAGGAGAAAAAAAAAAATCAAGAGATTTCCTTTGAAATCCATTTCAGTCCTCTGAGAAAGAGGGAATTATGACAGCAGAAACTAATATAAATGTAATACAATCATTATCAGTTGACTGAAATTACTGCAAACTATATTTTCAAAATTCTTAGTTTGAATCTACCCCCACAAAGTTACCAGAAGGAGTTTTATGGAGTGATTTAGTAGTTAAGCCAGATATTAGCACCTTTTAAAACACTTTGTAAAATTTACCAAGAAAGTATTCGTGTGCAGACACAAAAGAGGCTCAAAAAACTATAGTAAGACTCCTATGTATTCCACTAGACCAATTTACTCTGTATTAATTTTCCAAACCCTCCCTCACTCTTCTCTCTTAAAAAAATACCAAGATCCTCAGCTAAAATGGAGGAAAAATTCTATCACGTCCCACAGCTTTCATGATCTGGATGTCCTGCTTTTCTGTAAGCAACTATTAGAGCAAGACCTTCCCAAAAGAAATACTTGAGGAACATAAAAATTAAGAACTGAAGATCATTCTTATATCAAAGTCTGCTCCCCATCACCTGATCCCATTAACACAGCTGTCAGACCCCATCTTAAAACTAATTAGTTTGCCTAGCCCCTGAATGCTATGTGCTTTTCCCAGTCATTCCAGTAGCACTTTGAGTTGACCTCATTTGAGCACAGAATCTGTGCAGTGCTCCAAAGGATGCAAAGTGTACAACATTATTATGCATTGAGAACCATATTTACCTTTTATAAAGATAGTAATACTTGTAAACTATTTCTGTATACCGGTATACCCAGTGCTTATTCCTCTGCTATTTCCACTCTACAGTGTATGACTGTAGATCAGGAAATAACAAGAAAGTAATTATCATATATTACACTTGATCTGCATCTCTGCCTTAATTTATTTACTTTGGAAATGGGTCTACTGGAGAAAGTGGTTTACAAATTACTTTAAAGAAACTGAGTAAAGCCTGAACTGGAAACAGCTGTTCTGGAAATGAAGTCATCTTAGAAACCAATCAGAATGGGAATCAAAAGAACACCCACAGAACGTGGAAAAAAAAAATGCTTGCTATTTTGCAATTTGATATAGTCCTACCTTTTCCCCAACCTACTTTTTAATGGGCTTGGCCATTCAGAAGACATGGTAGATGCTCATTTTGTTGATAGCTGGGAAAAGACTGTTTTGTTTCTGCATCATATTTGGCAGAAACAAGATACTTGAAAAATTGGAAAGCAGCTGTTGGAAAGTTTTTCTAAGGTGAACTCAAAACATAAACACATTCATTGAGACAGACTTTGGTGACAGCTATATTGTGTGCTCTGTTATCTTACAGTTTACAGACTCAACATTTTTGAAAGCCTTTATTATTTACACATGATCAAGTAAATGCACATTAAAAACAACACACAATTAGCTCCTAATGAAACAAGTGAACAGCCCTGTCAAGTGAATACTTATGTTACTGGCTGTACCATCCTACACTCAACTTGAAAATGCTTCTGTTGGTGCAGGCATAGTCCTCATGCAAAGGGAGGAGGAGTTTGCAGAGCAACCACACTGTGGGATGTGAAGGAACATGCAGCAATACCAGGCAATTGTGAAGAGCCATCTATACCAATAGATTCATACCTGTCCTGCCAACTGCACCCACCAAAACAACAGGATCTCACAAGCTCAACAGAAAGAAATTAGTAAGGCCTACACAAATATATGCATTATAAAATCATCTACACAGGAAATTGTAAAGGGATTTTTTTTAATATCTGCTGACAAACAAGGCATGTTAATCTGTCATGATGAACTTTTCCAAAGTGTAAACTAATAAAACTAATTACAAAATTTAATCAAGTTTAAAATCTAATTGAATACAAGAGTCATTACTTCATAAAAAACATTCCCTGACTGGTGCTGCACCCAAACACTCTCCATCTATGCACATCCTAATAGTCTGCAACACTTCAGCTACCACCTTTCAGAGCTTTTAAAATTTTATTTAAAGAGTGAAAATGGGTTTCTAAAGCTCATTTCTCCTAATTGATTCTTTTTATATTCAGACTCTCAAGAAAGAGACAGCCTTCCCTTTTCTCTAAAACCTCAGTAGTCATTCCTCAGCATATATTAATGCAATAAAACTTTCCATCCAGCTACTAGTTTTTGCTCAGGAGAGAACAAACATGAAATATATGGACAGTTCAGCCTTTCATTTTAAAGCGTACCTTGAACAATCAACTCCCAATTTTTAATGAATACAAAGTGTCCCCAATTCTCATACAAAAACAGACTACCTGGAATTCTCTAGGAAGCCCCAATGACTGGCTTGAAAGCAAAGAGGAGGGGGAAAAAAAGAAGGCTGTCCTGCTAACTTGATGACTTAAACTTCTTTCATGAATTTTATACACTACTGAATTTCTCATGACAAGAAATATACTGAGCAAAACAGACTTAAGATATGGAAATTTTATTCCAATGAAAAAAGAGTCTGTCATTTTCAACTGCTTGGTTATATGCATTAACAGCTCTTTAACATTATCACTATGGTAATAAAGAAGAGCAGCAAGTGCAGGATTAGAAAACAAATTGGACACCACTGCCTGCTGATCATGACTCATGATTAATGACTCATGCAAGGTATAATCTTTGAATTATTTTCTTTACAATCACCTCCTACAGTACCGGTCAGTGGCCAATACTATTTTCTAATAAAAATAAGATTATTTTAGCAGTGTATTTAAACATCATCCAAAATTTCAATCAGTATGGAGCACTCACAATCCACTGCATTAATCCAATCATGAGATTTATTATTTCTGTATTTTGCATGAAAGCAGTGAAAGATGTTGCAGTAGCACGATCTTGTAGGACCACCCAAAAGATATTTATTAACACTAAAGTTTTCTGATTTTCAGTTTAACATCATCAAATCTCTCCATACATACTTAGAGAAATGGAGTCTGAGTCTAATTTTAAAAAGGCAACATGCTATACCTGATTGCATCTGTAGCAAAGGTAGTTTATGCACAGTTCCTACAATGGAAAAAAACCAACCTGACAGTAAGTAATAACAGTGGTCAATTAGCATCTTTCATATGTTTTAAGTGCTACAGCTTTATATATCACTGGTGACGACTAAGAAAGAAGCCAACAATGTGGACATCAATAGCTGTTCATGCCACAGCTATTGTACCTCTTACATGAAACAGCATTTCAAATCCCATTTGGCACTCAACTGATTTTGTAATACCCTTGCCTGTGGGGTAGCAGACTGTGGGTTCATATAAACACATCCAATGCCAGTACTTCAGTACAAAGAACTGACACACATTATGCAAGAGCAGTACATGTATCCACATGCAGGCACTCACAATCTATGTATTTTTGTGCATGTGGAGGTATCAGAGGCCTTTTGACAGCCTCTGGTAACTGCCTAGGTAAAATTCAGACCTCACAATGTTAATAAAACATAGTAATAACAGGAAAACTAACATCAATACTCCCTGAGTAGATTCTTTGGGAAATTAGTAAGTCTTGAACAAGGATATTTGCCTTTGCCATTTACCACTACCGTGTTGCAACCCAAATTTGTCTTGGAACACATGATGGAACAACTTAGAACAACTCCAGCAATGCTGCCAGTGTCAATTGTCACTGAACATGAAGATATGTGGCCAAAGTAAGAGATAAGGGCTGTAGGTAGCAACTTTCTAGAAGAAAGGGTATAAGAATTAAGACAAACCAGAGAACTAAATCTTAGGAGCTGTATACTCAAACAAGAGACACAGTACGACATAGCAAGTTAAAATACATGAGCAAGGAAAATTCCAGTTCAAAAAATGGTGCTTGAACTATTAACATGAGTCAGGGAAAAAGAAAATGGGGAAAGAAGATGCAGGGGTGTGTTTTCAATACATCAGAGAAATAAGCATACCCTTTCATCTGGGGCAGGATATGACAGGTGTGATGTGCAGATATAGATACTGCAAAAAAAACCCATCAGCTGACTTTCTGGGTTTGGATGAAGGTATACTGAGATTAAGCATAACAGAAATAAAGGGATTAAATAGACAAAATCCACAAAATAAATCTCAGGGAGGAGAAAACATTCAAATGGCATTAAAAAAAACAATTAGAAAGGCACTTTTGTGACACTGCTGAAGGCATCAAGGGCACTTGGTCAAGAAGAACAAGAGAACCTGACTTGAGGAAGACCTTTGGCAGCTGCAATTTCAGCAAGAAGCTCAGAAGTGCAAAGAGAGGGAAGAAGGGTTAGAAGATGTGAACTGAGGACGATGACTCAATTCAACCCTGTCTGGGTGGCTTACCAATCACTTTAGAAGGCATTTACCTGTACTAGGGAGCAGTGACCATGACTGGCAGATGCTTCACCAGGTTCCTGCAGTGGCCAATCAATGGAAAGCAAGTGGTGATACGGAAATGGATATACATTATACATATATACATATACACATATACACATATACACATATACATAATGAAATACGGATATGGAAATAGAATTGACGCTACAGCATGAAAGCAGATGAAAAAGCAGAGTGATGGATAAACAAAGCATGAAAATAGCCCATCTGTAGGAAAAAAAAAAAATAGGTTGAAAATGAGTGAAAATAGCAACTGACTGTAACCCTGGTCAGTAGGCTGGTGTGTAATTATGGGGAATAAAAAAAAAGAAAATAAATTCTGGTGTTGAACAAAGAGAAGAGATTCAAAAACAAAAGAAGAGCAGCTTAGTCTCACAGTGGAGTCACTAGACCCTGCCTTCAGACACAAGAAAGGTGTAATAGGGAGGACTCACATGCAGGATTCCTCTGTTGCCAGTTGCTTGTCACCACCCCACAACTGAAGGTTATGGAGCCCTCCACCTACCTCATGCACTTATCCATCTCTCTACTTTCCTTCCGTGATGCGTGGGTTAGGTTAACTTAAACACCTTGTCCAACAGGTTCTCCCACTCTAATAATTACCAGATGAAGCAAACTGAGGGCAGTCACTTCTCCAGCTGGCTTTCTCACTGCTGAATGCAAGCAGTGAGCAGATCATAAGCATGCTAAGGGATCAGCAGCAGAAAACCTACTGACAAAACATGATTTGCAAATACAGATACCAAACAAAGCAGGGTAGCTGAGGAGATTCTGCCTCCCCAACTAGGGGAGTGATCCCTCATGCTTTTCTCAAAATGTCATGGCTCTCAAACTTGCTGAGCCCTGTTCAAACTTTTAGCACATTGTCTCTGGTATCTGCACTGTAGACAAATTAGATGGGATCAACAGTCCCCCCAGTTCAGCACTTTAAAAGCTTTATGACTCCTCTAAAAACAGCCTTTAAAAGTAGCAGGTATTTTAAAGGACAATTTTTTAGCCTCTGTATTACTGTTGATAGAACAAAAGATTTGGGCCTCCTACTTTCTGTATGTCATCACTAGAAACAAAATTTATCTATCCAGAAGCTGAAAGAACAAGAATTAAGAACATGTCCAGATTAGCTAACTGAAACGGCATCAACTAACGTATGAAATGGGAAATAAAAATTAACTGGGGGAAAGAAAAATCTTGTAACTGTCTAAGTAAAAAAACCCCCTTTGTCTGTAGTTTCAGTTTTAAGCTGGCTGACCATTTACACTTCATTTCTTTTTTTATCTCTTTTTTTCTTGTTTTTTTCATTGTTCCTAAGCAGCCCAATTCTGGACATAGCAAGCTATAGTTTTCCAAACTATTTGTTCTTTGTTTAGTTTTGCATTTTTTAAGGATCCCTGTAGGCTAGAGTTTAGCTGTGAATTGTCTTTCTATTCCTAAACAATTACATTCTCTTTTAATCACATTTTAATTATTTTGAAGAATAGTAAACGAATCACAGAGAAACATATTTAAATCCACAGAAAAATAATGGTATTTAAGGATGCAAAACAGCTGACAAAGGAAGCCTTTCCATAAAGACAGATGACACTACCTAAAAACATTTGATTTTGGTCCCATGGTCAGTAAAAGATTTTAAGTTTTACAGCAGAGGGCAAGAATATGCTATCTTATGCAAGAAGCACTCAGGCCTTTATTTTTTAATGCTTTGATTCGAAGAGGTTCTCTTCACAGCTGTCATCAAAGGAGCTTTTATAACAGTGACAGAAAACTCTTTTAAGTTCACTGCCCACTAGGTGTGTTTTAGAGACCTTTAAGAAGAGCAGATGCACAACTTCACAGGAATGGAAATAACCACAACTAACCCACCATTTGCCTTTCAGTCACCAAATCCTGAACCATAAAATGCATGAATTCTAACTTGACCCACAAATACTGATGCTTTCCCAATGGTTGCCTTGAAAACTGTATCTTTTGTAGCCAAGAAGTATTCTGAAGAAAACAAGAAATATCCACTTAATTCACTGTTTACTATTCTCTCCTTACCACCACCAGCTATAAATGCTTCTCTCGACAGCAATGCCAAAAATGATATACCAAAGTCTGAACTGGCCAAGCAGTCACGATTCTCCTGTCCCCTTGTAACAGCACTGGGAACTAGCAGCACCACTCCAGGACTGCCTGTCACGCCTGTCACCTGCTTCCTTGGCTCCACACTGAATTTCGGGAAGCAATGGCAACCGTGCAGGTATCACCTTGGGAAGAATGTGAAGGCTCAAGGGACCGAGGGGTGGAAGCTACTTCTCCAGAAGACATTTCTTGCTGCTAACCTGCGGTGCCAAAAAACACTTTTTCTTTTTTTCTTTTTTTTCTTTTTTTTTTTTTTTTGACGGAATTGCTTATGTTAGATCAACCGTCACGCCAGGCAGGGCTGAGCGCCGAGCAGGGCCGAAGTGGGCGGTGACCGGCTGTTCCCAAAGCAAGACCCGAGATGTCAGGGCTAAGCAGAAGCACCACCGACCTCTCCAGCACCGATGACACCAGCTCGCCTCTGCGGGGATCGGGACGCCCCGCGCCCGCCCTGCCCCCGGACGCTGCCCGGGGCCGCGCCTCGGCAGCCCCGTTCCCCTGCAGAGGCCCCTTTCCCCCCGAAGGCCGCGGGCGGCCGGGGCAGCGGAGCCCCCCGGCCGGGCACTGACCTGGGCCCGGCGCTGACCTGGGCCCGGCGCCGGCGGAGCAGCGGCGGCGGGCGGTGCTGCGGGGAAAGGGCCCCGCCGGGAACCGCTGCCGCGGCCTCCGGGCCGGGCCCGCAGCCGCCCGCCCGCACCCCGAGCCCAGCGGTGTCGGGGCAGCCCCGCTCCCGGCAAAAGGGATTAAAACCTATTGAGCCCCTGGGTGCTGGGGGCTGACTTGGGGCCCACAAGATACCGCATCTCTAGAGGCGTGACCCCAAGCAGAGAGAACTCTGCCTGAATTAAAGCAATTTTGAAGCAGACGATACTCGTCAGCTCCAAAGTTGCTAAATACCACATAAGCAGGTCGTCATTATTGTCGTTTTCTGCACCTATCGCCTCCATCTCTAAAAACCAAGCCCCGCGTTTCTATCCGAGTCAGGCTAATTAAAGATCCTCGTTTCTCCGCTGGCTCAGGACATGGTCTCGCCTCAGGTGAGGGTACGGATCGCTGCCGGGAGGATCCAGCCTGGGGCGGCGGGGCCCCGGCTTGCAGCAGGCAGGAGGGATGTTAGCTCCCTGTCCACGGCGCCTCAAGGAGAGACTTGCGCTCCAGCTGCTTTACCTGTCAGCCTAAGTGGGAGCTCTTTCCACTGTCCTGTTCCAGGCCGCTGTGCCTGCCTGGCCTCCAAGTACCACTCACCTGTACCCAGCTCTGGAAGCCGGGCCAAAGTGCTCAGCAAGCCGCAAACTCCCCTGGCATTAAACTGTAATTGTGTAAACTTGAGGCTGGCATAAAATGGCATTGTCACCCACAGCCCTGCTCTCGGTTTTGCCAGCAGCCAGATTAAGGCAAATAAATGTTCCAAATAGAGATAACTTAGTGCTTTGCATATTCAAAGCAATACGTAAATATGAGCCAGTCTTTCTTTCTGTGTCCTTGTTGAGACACATATATAAGATGACTCAGTTTTAAGTATTTGTAGCATGGCTGAAGAATGTATCTGGAGGTACATCTTCTCCACCTGTATTAGAGCTGTTTTTCAACCCAACTGTCAATACAAATGTTCCAAAGTTGGCCTAGTTCATTAAAAATTATGATTGAATATGTAGGGAATTTCAATTAATCATTTATATTGAAAAACAAAAGCTTTTTACGCTGAACAGATATTTTCAACTTTGTATTGTTCAGATTATCGAGAATATGAAATAGTCTAGTCCCAGACAGTGCTATCTTTATACAATAGAAAGATACATTTCCTTTTTACAACACTCTCTGCAACAAGCAGGCTTGTTTTTCCTCCTGGGTTCACAAAGAATTTTTGCGGTAGGATTCAGCCCTGCAGTTGTGTCTGGAAAACCTCAGTAAAGATCTGTGAGAGTGCAGCAGCTCTCTCCAGGTCCTGCTCCAAGGGCTTGTCCTCTCTCGGAGCGGAGCGATGCCCAGGCACGTCCCAGCTCGGTCGGAAGCAGAGGAGGCGAGGGTGGCTGGAAGCTCGTGGTTTTTCAGGTAACATATTGCCACCTAGCAGCGCTCGGTGGAAGTAGCGCAAACCGGACCGGCAGATCCATAAACCAGTTTGCCTCATTTTGGTTTTATTGCCTTGCGTCATATAGGACAGGATGAGAAGACTAGGATGCACGCAGAGTGCAGGAAAATGAACAGATGAGTGAGATCATCTTCGAAAAGAGACATTAAAGACCAGGCAGGCTGTAACTTTCAGCAGGATGGTGACTAGTCCCCTGGATGTCTGACTGTACAGTAAGAGACAAAAAGAGAAAAAATGTACAGTCCTGCAAAGTCACATAATCTTATTCTTGCAAATAATTCCACTGTTTTCAGTAACATTTTCTCCTTGCATTGCTGAAGCAGTACTGACCTAGGAGAGTCAGGTCACTACCTGAATTATATAGAATGTGCCCATTCCCTGTCACCAACCCAGAAACTGGTGACTATGTACTGGCTAAAAGAGCAATGCTTCACTCTTGGTTTCAAGGCTGCCAGACTGAAATATTGAATTCCAATAGATGCAGAGCTACGGGTGCTATTTTTACGAACTCCTTTCAGAGCAATGGAACAAATAGATGACAGATCTGGGCTTATATCTCAGGAATTATTGGATACTAACCAACACATAAACTCACAGTCAGTTCATAAAAGGTCCCTTGACTGTAATTTTTAGGAGGCAAATATCATCTGTGTGAAAGCTCTGTGTGAAAGTGTGGCAGGTTAAAGGATGGCGTAACATATACTCCAAAGACTAGATCCACAGTCTAAAAAGGTGGCCATATGCATTCTATTCCTAAATTTTTGAAATATTTCTAAAATTTAGATTTCTGGATCCAAAATTATGATAATCAGTTTCTCCTTACAGCCTCACCCTAGAGGCTTCCAAATCCCATTGGTGCCTGACAGCTGTGATTCATGGGAATGGACAATTTATATCAAGTTAGCTAACAAGACTACTACCCCAGCTGTCTCTCCTGTCCTCACTGCAGATATCTGAAATACCCCAGAGCTGCTGCAGCTTTCTAAATGCAGCCCCATGTGCCAAACTACATTTGGTTTTTGTTAGGCAGGGGCTGCCTGGGGACAGGGCAGTCACCCTGAGTACCTCAGAACTGCAACTGTATCAGTACTTTTATGTCAGCCCCTCCTCTACTTCATGCATCAAAGTTGTCAGTGTGTTATTTCTCACACAGTATTTGGCGACTGGATGTGTCTGCAAAGGGCTCAGCTCTTCCCAGGTAGCTCTGTACCCACCCTATCACAATGGGTTGATTTTATGTTCTCTGTCCATGTTGTTTAAGGACCTCCTTCTGCAGAGCTGACTCTGAGCTCCAGCAAGGCATGGCTGGAAGATGAGGTAAAGAAACACCTGCCTCTGTAGCAGGACAGCATGGGAAGTGTCACCCATGCCCTCTTCTGCCAAAGCAGACCAGCTCATTTCTCTGGGGAAGGTGCTCTGATCAGGAGGCTGTGTATTCTTGGGAAGTTGAGGGAAAGGAGCCCTGTCCCCCTGGCCAAAAGCTGCTTCTCTTAACTTAGCATAATGAAATATTCATCAAGCCAGAGAGCAGGAGAGAGGTTCAGCCACGTCTTGGTGCTTGCTCACACTTTCAGTGACCCAGCAAATACTGGGTATTTAAACATTAATAGCTACTTGAGTGTATGACTCTATGGACTTGAAGGTCTTTTCCAACCTAAACCATTCCATGTTTCTGTGCCATATAAAGCAACTTGAACTTGTAGGGTAAAGTCTGTTCTTGCTCTGCCAAGTCCTCTCTCTGGTTACAGCTCACCATGGGAAGAATGGCCTCAATCCAGCCAAAAGGGCCATCAGATCCCTGCCACATGCTCTCACCTTTCACTTCACCAACACTGTCATGTGATTAGACACTGATTTTCTGATAGAAAATATATACAGTACAAAAACATGCTTGTGTGTGGTGTACCGTCCTACACAAAATAAGATCTGATTTCACAAGACAAAATACCAGCTCACTTTTACTAGGAGGTGGTGGTCCCACACTTCTTCCTTCTCCTTTCTGGGAGTGAGAAACAAGGGTGAGCCAGATGAGCTCACTGAACTGTCAGGAAACTGTTTTAACACAGCAACTAGTTTCTCTTTTGATTCCAGGGCTAAGGAACTGAACCAGCTTGGCTTGCTGCTGGTAGAGCCTGAGGGACACAAAGCAGGGGAAAGAAGATGGAGGAAACTTGAGGAGAAAGGCCATTCTGTTTTAGCAGCATTGAGTTATTAAATGGGCTCAGTTGTATTTGTTCTGACTCTCCCAATGGCACTCAGGGCTTTAACAATTTGGGGAGAGGAAGTGGGTTAGAAATACATGGCCCAGGGCAAAGCTGAGAGGTGTATGAGTGCGTCCCCCTCTTTTGAGGGGGCAGCCAGCCACTGGGACGAGCTAATTGTACTGGAAAACTCCACCCTAAATTTCTTTGAAAATCTGTCTTTCTTTCCTTAATTTCCTTTGGTCTCTGTTGCTACTCAGTTCCATAAATCTTGCAGGGAAAAAAAAGCATCTTTTTCTCCAAGAGCATTTGAATCACACTGAAGTAGGCCAGGTGATAATTGCGCACCACACAGTAGTGCTGCTTAAATGTCAGATGTTAATTAAAGCCTTTCCTGAAAATGGAGCATTAATTAGGGCAAATGCAGCCATTCTTTATGGATACTGACTAACCAGTGAGAAAAAGCATTATTTCAACACTGGTATTGAAACTGTTAATTTTTATTTGTCTGAGGTGTGTTTGTTATTGAAAGAAAAACAACTGAAAAAAATTATAACTCCTTGAACTTATTGTTCTCTCTTTTAAAGACAGTTTTAAACAAATATTCTGGCACAAGAATATTCACGCACATACAGATTGCAATAGGAACATTTCAGTATTAGGTCCAGATGTCTCTAGGAGTTGTATAACCTTGGTAGGAATGCTTAAATGCTGTAGATATTAAATACAGCTCTGACCTGCAAAAACAGCCGATTGTGGCGCTTCACTTATGTCTTTCTGTTCTTAAGAAAATGGCATCATCTGCATGAATCATGGTACACCAAAATGTTTACTAAGTCAGGGCCAAAAAGTAAGGCATTTTACTTTGAAACTTTTCTGAACAATTGTGAATTAATGGGAAGAATCATAATATTGATAAAGGATGTAAGTGTTCAAGATTTAAGATATGTATCCAAGCTTTGCAGCTTAACCATCTTGCTTTTTGTCTCTTTGGCCTGGATTCAGCAAAGCAATTAAGCCCCTAAATAGCACCATTGATTTCAGTGACACATAAGCAGTTGGTTGAATCAGGCCCACTCTGCCTGCCTGCCAAACTGCATTCCTTCTTGCCTCCCAGTGCATTAGACCTTTTGGAAGGGCAGTTCCAGTTATTATCAGTAGCTGTAAG